ATGCTTTTTTCACGAGTATCTGTAAAGTAGCCCAAAACATTTTATTGAGCTTTGCGCAAATGATGGAAGCCGAAAGTTAATGTTCACAGCATAAAAAGAATTTTAAACTAACTGATTTTTCCATTTCCTGTTCAACGAACTCAACCAGACACAGTCGTTCTGCATCCAAAAGGGATGCTCTAACGTCTGATCACTATTTATTGTAATTAACAGCTGTTTCTGACACTTCGTCAGTCAACACCTTGAAGTAGCCGTTCTTAATGCACTGAACTTATTTTAAGGTATCTTGCCCTTCATATCGGGTTACATATGGCATCAGTGGTTGCTGGTTTTTATCTGGGTCGGCAATCCCGAACATTAACCGGAAGATGACACGCATTTTATGGTATTTGCCTGCACAGATGTATATATCTGCAAATCCTCCGTTTCCCACAGCGGGTATCACTTCACATAAATTTAAACCAAAATGCCCTCAAAACTTCCGTGATGTCAGGTCTACGTTTGGTCAAAAAGACGGGAAACTGGACAGAAGGCGTTAAATGCTCCAATATTTATGGGATCAATCATCTTTTAAAAAGTATTACAGGCAATAATTATCGCCGAAAATATCCGCCCTATTACCTTAGAAGGGAGCTCGGGATTTAATTCGTTACGAATACCAAAGTTTATCGAGTGTCACAGTGATTCTTCTAGAGAGACGGCACAGGTCCTCTGCGTATACGTCTGCGGCAAGTTGGGTAAAAAGTTATGTTGTCAAATAGGATTGAATAAGCATTACCTGCAATTATTAATGACAGAAAAAATTAACATAGGTCCAAAAAGCCATTTATTTTTTTGTATCCGTGTTAGGACACGAGAATAGGAAACGGTTCTGCAATTAAACGCAAGACCAATTGAATTTTGGGGGTTCCTATTCCCGTGCTGTACCATTTCTACTGACAAGAGTTGGTTCACAAACATGATGGCACTTTGCGAATTTAAAAAAGTGGACGTCAAAGGCAATTTCAGGCTTTTTAAGCTTCAAATTAATTCGCATTGGTAAATCGATGAGTACCTATTCCAAATTTGAGTGGATTATAAAAGGAAAATAGATACTATGCCGAAAAGAGAATAATCTTGGCTACTGACGTATTTTAAACGAAAAACATGAATTACAACAATTGGCTGCGGTTAATGAATGTACAGACTCAGGAATTCTTGTTGTTAAGAGGTCCACCAATTGGGCACTCAGATATGAAACGGCAAAATCATGATATGACTGTGGTTATAAGTAAGCCTCGTTTTACTGACTGGTCAGTCAAGAATAAATCCAACGGTTGTTTAAGTAGTTTTCATTATCTTTATTTTTTGCGCCAGGTTGGCGAAAAATATCTTAAATTTGGTGTAAAGTCACAGAGACTATGAGGAAGCATCACGAAAGAAGGCTGCGACGGCTCTACCGTCGTTGCCGACGATGTCCACCATGTGCTTCACGGAGAGGTGAGGCATGCAAGGTGATTTAAGCGTGATTTAGTTTATTGTGAATGTAGACTTGCGCAGCATCTACCACACGCTGTCCTCCACCACCTGTGCCCAGTGCAGGGTCATGAAAATCGGAGGCGTAGGAGGGCGCAGGTGAATGGCGTGACCGATCCCGCACCTTTGCGCTCCACTCCACGCCTCGAGATCCGTAAAGCAAATGACCAGGTGTTTAACTAGCAACAGCACCACAACGGGCCATAAAGACGAGGATGACTGGGCAGCCGTGTTCACAACCTGCATACACCGTTGGTGCGTAAGCGCATCTACCAGCAAGGAACCAGGTGTCAGAAAACTGCTAGCGCATACCCGACTGCGAGGACTATGGTTTGCTGATCCTGGCATGCAGAAGTTCGCAGGCCTATAGGCGCAAGAATCCTATAAAAGTGCACCATTAAAACCGTGCATTAAAGGGTAGAATATCCTATGAAGCGAAATTCCAGGAGTGGATGGTATACGTCCAAAGCATAGGGTAAATTGGGAAGTAATCGAAACCCGAGGAGGCAAATCCATTGCCTTTTGAAAAATAGTTAACAAATCCGGTCGATTTGGCTGCGAGCCTCTGTGTGTGTGAGCGTCTTAAGTGAAAAATTATGCATCCCAAAAATTTTCGCAAACTGGATCCAGTTGAAAAAATTTTACAGGGTTGACCGCTAAGGTTGTTTACGACTTATTCTAAGTTGTTGTTCTCTCAGCAGCTTTGGTGAAGGGGATCGCACAATGTTTAAAGATCGGCGGTTTCCCATATCAAACGGAAAAACGCTGGGGCAAGGAAAGTCGATCGAAGCGAATGCGCAAGGCCCGGGAAGCAATTCAGAAGACACAATCGCTGGGAAATAATCCAAAACGCCGAGCCAATAAGCCCTTTGTCCTAGCGATCGCATCTTCTGTACAGGAAAGTTTTTTAAAATTGTACGCTAGTCGAGAGCACTTCGAGATCAGAAACCTGCTCAGATAGGACTGCACATGCATACCACATACGACCGCAAATTCCGTAATCCAAACTACAGCCTGACCCATATCAAGAAACAAATGAATTTTGAATAAAAAACTGGAAATGCATGTTAGCCAGGTACTATTTGATATGAGAGACATGGTTAGCAATGTCCTATACGATTCTCGGTCTGAACTTCGTGCACGTGTTCCTGATTTACTCCGTCAATATCTTAATACACACTAGCCATAGAGACCTTCAGGCACCCAATGCTGCTGTGGGGTTTGTTGCAGGCTTCCTCGTCGACATACACCTAAATGTTGAAGTCGATGGGCCTCAAGTCTGATGAGGATGGTGGCCACATATTCTTGGGCGAGAGATAAGGCATGCGGTCTTCCAGTCACTTTTGTTTCTCTCCCGTGATGTATATAGAGGAGCAATATCTTGACGGAAGATCACATAGTCGTCTAGAGTGTAGTTAGAATCTACCCAAGGCTTGACGTGCTTCTCAGGGACATCCAGATACACGTCTGTGTTCGCTTCGACCCCGGCCTCATATGGGGCATGACTTCGCCGTTTGAGGCACTCAGGTCAAAGGCCATCACAGACACAGGATGTTTGGTCTGGAACTTGTACTTAACATTTTCAGGTATCTTGTTGACCTTCATGGGGCTTGCGTAGAGATCTCTTCTACTGTTGGAGAGAACCGTGTGAGGTACTTTCTTGAGGAAGTTTAAGATTCTGTTACATTTTTTCAATCTCCTCTCTTTCACAGCCCCAGTAACGAGATACTTCTTGGTCCTAGCCTTTGACTTAGTCTTCAGGCCCATTTTCACGACATTCCTGAGTGTGCTCCGACACCTCAAGCTCCGAAGACAATTTCCCCATTTACGGGGCTAGATTGCAACGAATACAATCCTGGACAACCTTCATAGTACGAGGGGTTGGAATTTTTTTTCTACTACTGGGCTTCCTGTCCATGCGGCCGAACTTCTTATAACGGTCGATAATGGCGTAAACTGTTGACCCGGCCATTTCCAGCTTGGCAGCGATGTCCGTAGGCGAGAGGCCATTCACAGTGAGCTCAAAAACTGCCTCATTACTTTTTATGGCAAGATATTTGAAGACCTTTTTCCATGAAATTGTTATTGTATTGTTACCATGATATTCCGAGGAAAAACGCATAGATTTCAATACAAATATTTTCAAAAAGTGGCGGCATAAATACTATGAAATGTACGATCGCACACCGCACGGTACATAGGGACCCTGTAAATACGGTAAGACTTCAGTGCTGGAGCCTTAGGAAGGTTTGTTCAACGATATATCCCGATAGCGAGATACCGATTGGCATTCTCTATTCGTCTTGGGGTTTGCCACCCACGCATGTAATAGCACAGTGGTAGCGAGTCAGTAACCGACGAGTATCCTCAAACAAAAACGGAGCAGTGCGTAGGGGGCCAAGGCCGACTCATTCCCTTGGATCAGGCAGTCATTTTCCAACCTCAAGCCCTGGGAACATATTTAAAGAGTTTTGTACCGAACTTCCTGTTACCGTAACTATACTGCTCACAATGGGCGTCTTAACCACCTGCAAAGTAATCCGCAGGTACTCTCAACCAGAAGCAGGGCTGCTACGCTTTTAATATAGAAAACAGGAAACCCGAAAAGAAGGCGTGATTCATGACCTCAAATGTTGCATCTTTGTTTTTAAAAACGCTAAGTTATTATCTATTCTCAGCAACCTTCTAGTAGAGATTGCCGCAAGTTGCAGAATCTGAAATTAGGACATCTTCCTCGTTAAGCATGAAAATCATACTTTCCCGCAGAAGCCTGAGAAATGCAGACCTCAAGACAGACCACGATTTCCAAATTTTTAATAGCATGTAAGAAACCCCTTTCGTTTGACGTATCTCGTCAAAATCTTCCACTAGTATTACGAGTCAGTGCTTTCGAGGATAGCATTACCCGAAATGACCAACTTGAGGTGCCCTAAGATAGAATGTGTAGGATGGGAAAGCGCAGAATCAAATAAAACTGATCCCTTCACTTCACCAGTCCAAAAGTAAAAAACCTCAAAACCAGTAACACTCAGTTTCCGTGCCTGTCACATTAGTTTGCTTCCACTGGACAAAATTATTCTTCATGAGGTACTGTTGGAGAGCATGCAGTTACAAAACAAGTTATTTGTAGCATTTCAGAAAAAGAGTTAGGTCAACGTTATCCGGATTTGGAAAACATAGCGCCGGGGCTTCCTGACTGCTGTGTTAAGCTTAGGTAGAATACCAACATAATCAATTTGCTTTTATCCGTACTTTCTTGACTAAGCGATTTCTTCGAGTCTGCGAAAACGTACTCTCATGTTTAATCATAGTGTAAGACACATCATTCAGGCTGAAAATACTTGTTAAACTTCCGTATTAAGAAGACCCTCGCCAGTCTCCCAAGTATCTATTTCAAGTTAAGATACCTTCATATCCTTATAAACAGATAGCTTCGACCAGTCAAGATCAGCGTCGTACCGATACTGTACCTCCACAGGTCATTCCTATGCAAGAATGACCATGGCAAATAGGACAACTAGGTTGCGAAAATAAACGATAAGTGGCAGAGACAGAGAGAGAAAGCGAAAAGGAAGCGAGGTTTTTTTGTAGATGAGAATGGAAATAAAGGTGACAGAGAATGTTGTATAAGATGAATACTCCTTTGGCGACCTTCGTTTATCAGTTAAGTTTTGGAGTGTATTGGAGCAGAGCGTACGGCCAAAACGCTCATTTGAACCCGCCACGTCTGCTCTTCTGTCGCAGTTGTCAAGGTCGAAACAAAAGGCAGGCGAGAAGAGCTGGGAAGGTTGCCATGGCATTCCTAAGGGGGGTGAAAGCATCGGTGTCATGAGTTGTGCGAGAGCACGAGCCAGTGCGCGTTATTAAGAAAAGATGAGTAAACCAGTTTAAACGGGGGATGAGCACGAGGAATGCGTTGACGAGAATGCAGGAATGTCAGTCCTTTTGGACAAGGCTAGTGACAAAGCAGCATGAGGCCTACATGAAAATCTTCCCCTTCAGCTAGCAAAGGCAAGGTGATGAGACAGCAGCTCAGCCAGCCTGTTGCAACTTTTTAAAAGTCTAAGAGGACTGCCATGTAACCAAGCCTGCTGGACACTTACTGTGAAAATCAACGGGGAATACTGAAACACAATATCCGTTTGAACGCTGAAATAAATGTAGGACTCATAACGATGTTCACCGGGTGAACCTACAGCTCCATTAAGTGGTGTTTTTAAAATTAGCAACACTTCTTTGGGCTTGTATTACCAAAAGTAGTTTTGGAGACTCGGAAATACTGGCCAAGTTCAAACAATCCTAGATTTCTGGAATAAAAGGACACCCTAATTGTTAACTTTCGCAATCTTTTTTTCGACGGCAGGCTGTTTACCTTGGGCAGGGATGACAAGAGGCCGCATGTTAAGAATGATACCTTGGTTCAACCCTAGCAGTGATCTATCCACCTCTAAGTTCATTTTGACAGTGATATCACATTAAAGTACATCTGCTGACTTTGACTCTCGTGTTGTTGATTATTGATTAGTCTATAAAGTGGTTAAGCGATTCAAGACTTTAGTTTCGGGGATGCCCGACTATCTTCCTGCAGGAGTCAGACTGATATCTAGTAGCCCGCTACTTTTGTCGCCATGTCGTCTAGGTACATGAGCTTTTAAACAATCATCCGCAGAGAAACGCGGAAGTAGTATCGTGAAGAGCAAATTCCGTTCAGGCTGAACTCTAACGAATTTAAACCTGCTTGCATCTCAAGAGTCGGAGGAATCGATGAACACAGCCCAACTGCAGTTGCGCACAAAGTGGCTCTCACAGGTCTGACTTGATGAAGTGGTCAAATCTTCTCACTCTCAGCTCACAGTTCTCCTCGCAGTTACGTCAGGCTGCAAGGTGGAATGCAGCTGTTTAACTGGCTGTGTGGTTGAGGCCTAGAACTTGCTTGAGCGATATTTCTAACTAGGGGTTGGCTGACAATAAAATAAAAAGGAAAACGCCATTGCTGTTTCCCTTCTCTTAATCGGCAATGCTTCTCGTTTCCACATTAATCAACCTTACTTCAGGAAGAATATGAAGCATCTCAGGCGAAATCGATAGACCGTAGGCACGCGGCTCAGGGGCCAAGGATCCAGACATCAGATTTAGAACTAGGAGTGGCAGGCCATCGTGCATAGAGCTCACACGTTAACGACGGTAAATGAATTTCACAAAATGGACATTTAAGTTTCCCATCCTCGTCCCTTACAACCCTTTCGTTTTCAAATGAGTAAATCCCCTCTGTAAAGGAAGGCAGCAATTTCTATTCTGTAGGGTTTCGGTCAGAAAGTCTACTTGGAATACCGTTATACGTAAGTCACAAATACATGCACAGACAAAGCTAGACGGGCAGGAACGTCGTATAGCACATAACGGCAGCACGGTCTATATACGTGGCGAACGCCTAAAAGCAGTAGCGAGCGGTGTTTTATCAAACTCAACTTTTTGGGTTTCGGTATGAGGTAAGTGTGATGCAAAAGGGACTGAGAAAGAAACAGCATATGGATATTACATCTATGAATACAAATAATAGACGAGTAGTAAAACCGCTATTTCCTGTAAGCGCCAAAAACCACAGAGATAAATCCAGTCCACTTTTCGAGATTAAATGTTTTGAATACGAGGCGATTAATTTACCGGCATAACATGAAAAGAACCTAGAGAAGGTACTGTATCGTCCTTCAATAGCCCATGAGATGATAGTGTGTAGTGACCGACACTATTTTATGGACGTAACGGTCAAGTAAGGATGATGCTCAACCATTTATTTTGATTGACAGACAGAATGCAGGTGGTCTCATCATGCTATGGATCTCTGACCTTGAGGCTACAAATAGAGGTGGTCATTCCAGTCTCCTGTCTCACTGGCAGTAGCACGTCTCCAGAAAGCATCTGAAAGACAATGAGTCCTTCCTCACAGTTGATGTGACTTTCCAGTTCTCACTTATGACTGGCCCTATTTCACAAAGTAAGCTTTTAAAAAGATATGAAATCAACCACTAGAACGATATGATCCGCCGCTACTCAGAGACAGTGCATGTAAAATCAGTAACCCAAGACCGGAGAGTGAGTTCCTACTTGACTTACTCCAAAACATCCAAGGTAGTACAGGCGGTGAAGCAAGAAGCCACATCATGTCCTCTGTTGAGTCTCCTGAAAATCCTTTAAGACATTTTCATTCGTATTTGGTGGAATTCTTACTGTTTGTTCTGAAGCGAGGCTAAGTTGGGCGCTGGACGCAGAATGTGTGTGTCGACGTCCGTTTCCCATCAGCGCGACGGAGTCTACGCTGCGAAGACTGGTCGCCTGAGAAGCTCTCGCAGAGCAGGTGGAGATACCGAGACACTCACGCGATGAATTTTGCAGACGGACCGGCCAGTCAAGGCAGATGGTCTCGGTGCAGACGTTGGGTATGACCGTGGAAAATCTTTCAAAAGCAGGTTGATCAGCGTCTAAAGGATGCACATCTGATGGAGCACCATTAACAGGAGTTGCCAAGTGTGCATCTGTTCCCGGTCGATTACTCTGAAAAATGACGGAGATATAGAAAGTTGTACAAGTGTTGCGTCCAACTGATTAGTTTACTATTCCTAACAATGCTTTTGAGAATCCGCACAGTACACCGTTGAGTGAGAGCTCGAAACCACAGGACGTTACACCAGTGTTTAAGGTCATTTTAATGACCATGCAGCAAAAAGTTTAACACACTGTCAGATCAACGTCGTCACGTAATTTACTGAGGCAAGTTTAACCATCTAACCAGCTTGATTCTCCGTCCAAAGCACGATTTTCTGGCAATTTGCCTCCGGCCTATCCTGAGGGGAAGGCAGAGGCTGCTAAAAACAAGACAATTTATTCAGAAAGCCTAACACTTAGTTTGAAACAGTGTTCTTATCCGCGGATTTGGCCGTAGACTCAGTAACACAATGCAGTTGGTTAAACAGAATACAAACAATGTTCTTCAGACGACATGTGGAAGTAAACGTATTCAGGGAACACCGTGGACTTTACTGAACCCAAGAACATACTGTACACAAACAAGCCGTTACGGGCCAGCAAACACACGTGTGGGCTTACCGAGATTGTCTGCCCTTAACCTATGACTGGAGGCGATTCGATTTGACAGAATATATAGGCAAGAAAATGCTGCATTACCTTAAGGATGAAAACCACGAAATGTAAACATACACGGATGCTGTAATCAGGTGTAACCTTGCCACCGTATGATGTCCCAAGTGTCACTGGCAAAAGAGTTGGTCTCTCTACAGTTGCTGTCGCCTCAGAATTGGCAGAATCCAGGGGCTCGACTCCATCTATTTGCAAAAATTCGAAATTTCCTCCTTCCATCACAGGCTTATCCACGTTCGCAGCATTGCGGTAGTTGTTAGTTACTCCACTGCCTCCCGCTAAAGACTCCGATTCCTCCAGATCTTCCGTGGTCATATTGTCCTCAGTCTCGTAGACGGAGGTGTTTGTGTCGGTCACGGTGGCAAAGGAGTACAGGGCGGTTGCAAAGAAGTCCGACTTCGCCTCATTCTCCCACCAGTTAGCAATTCCAAAGTTCTCCCACTTGCCAGCAGCCGCAGAATCAACACCAGGTCCCGTGCGGTGGAGGTCCCAAGCCCAGTTTTCGCTAGTGGGGACAGAGGTTCCGTCTACAACACGCTTCTGGGACGAGTGAAGCGACATAGCAACGGCGCTCGGCTCGCCATATCTGTCCCGAGATGTACCCCTCATGGGCGCATTTGTCATTTCCTCAACGGGAGACCGCTCACACAGGGTACGGAGACGATAGTTCAGACTCTGCGTTCCACCACGCAAGAAAGGCATCGTGCAGGCAGAGCGACCGACCTCAGCGGGGTTGGAAGAAAGGTTGTTCGGGAAGTGAACCTCCAATTGGTTAAATTCCCTAGCTTCGTTATTGTCCTCCCTCGAGGGAGATTTCAGAAGGGAGTGGGGAAAAACTGTCAGCTGATGAAGGATACGTCGGATGAGGGGGCGAGACATCTGCACAGCGTTCTCTTCCCGCATTCTGCAGTGATTTTTCCGAGAAATAAAAACAAAGGATGGTGAGATTTATTCCAATAAAAGCACAATCCTGCAAGTTATAAGTGAAAAGTGAAGTCGTTTCTCAAATAAACATACTAAGTTATATGTCTGAAAGTGCGGAAATTTACTAGCTGTGACTAGCCACGTTTGCTGTCATTTTCAGTCACTGTGGATGGTAGACGTCGGAAAGAATATTTACAATTAGATTACAGTCGCGGGCCTAGACAAAACGCTGTGTAATGCACATCTAACTGCATCCAAATTGTCATTTACAGGCAAGCCGGAAGAGAGCAGGACACAAGATAATTAAGTGCACTATGAGTCGGAACTCGTAAATTTGGAATTTCCGAACTGAAGTTGCTTATGGAATATGAACTGAGGGCCATAAATAGGTTGTCAACTAGCAAATATTATTTAAGAATTGCTGCCAAACTGATAGACACTAAATCTCATATGAATTCGCTCATGTGACCGCTGAAAAATGTCCCCGTCGTCAATAAAAACCTGCAGCCGGTTGCCAAAAGATGCAGAACACATTTGATCAACATCCTACCGTCACACAAGGTTGTTCGCCTTCGCTGGGAACACCCCCAGACGCCCTGACCGTACAGATTGATCGATGGTGCGGACTGACTGCAGTACGGCGGACGCGTTAAGACAGTAGCAGTTGCCAATATATCAGGTGCCCCGATGAACGCAGACTAGGACACACCGCAACTGAACTTTTACACGTGCTATCTCACGGAATGTTGAGTGAAATTCTGAAATAAAATTTCGATTCGAAGAGATCCTTTTAGAAGGGCTGTAGTGTTAGTTATTGTGCAGCATAATCGCAAAATATTTCGATTAGGCCAAGATTTCGACCTCTGAATGAGCTCATTTTCGGCCGCCTGTAAAAACTTCACTCTGCGAAAAATAACTACTTATAAAGTATGAAATTTTCCGATTGATTTTCCGTGCCCTGATAAATTCGGACAGTTTAAAGAAAATATAAGCAACCGATTCTTTTTTGCACTCCTTCAGTAGCAGATTACGTTTTCTTCAATCTCCCTGACAAACTAAGGGGTTAATTCCGTCCTTAACATTTACGGACCATGAAATGTTCAATTCTACAGTATCACATCAGCACATTTATGAATTCTACTTATATGGTACACTACATGGTCCACACCCATTGCAAAATTGTATGAGCGTTAAATGAAATCTTCCCAACAGCGAAGAGAATGGTGTGAAATTTTTACGCTGTCCTGTCAGTCGTGATCAGTGAGCGTCCCTATGCCACTGTACAGTGAGTGACCGATCTTACGAAATGTTGGCTGGAATCCTGACGCGCATTCTCGATTAGGAAGGATAACTTAGGTGCGGTTGCAAAACTGATTATCTAGCAACACAATCCTATAATATTTCGGACTCGGCAGGACGTCAACTTTTGAATGCACTGCCTTACAATCTCCTGTAAAAACCAAACCATTGATTTTCGATGGTCTCGCAAACTTCATAGAAATCATGAACAAGAATATGCTTTCTTTCAGTCGTTTGATAAAGAATGTCACCTTTATATTTCATATACGAAAAAGAAGGATAATTAGGTTTAAAAAGAAGTGTCTAATCATACAGCATCGCACCTTTCCGTTTACCACTGCTCCTCGGGAAATGTGCGACGGAGTCCGCATCCATTGAAAAATTTCTCGGACTTTATATATTATCTTTTTAAAGGCATGGAAGAATATGTGATTTTCTTTACGTAAACGTATGCACCTTGTAGACTGAAATCACTGAGCGCTAATGCAACGACTGATCAGGGTCCACATTATTCGGAAATTATAAAACTTTTTAAAACGTAATTATCCTTCTTCATCGTGACATGATTCTCTATTAAACGGCTGAAAGGAAGCATGTTCTTGTTCATGATTTCTATAACATTTGCACGACTATCGAAAATCAATGTTAAAGGTGCATGCCACTTAAGTGGTCATTTCTTACCGAGTACGGTTTTTACAGGAGATTGTAAGGCAGTGCATTCAAAAGCTGACGTCCTGCCGAGTCTGAAATATTATAGGATTTTGTCGCTAGATAATAAGTTTTACAACCGCACATAAGAAATCCTTCTTAATCGAGAAAGCATTCCATAATTTCAACCAAAATTTAGTAAGATTGGTTACTCACTGTATATACTCGCTCTCAACTGACAGGAAAACGAGTCCATTGCTCCGCGGTTAGGGCGCTAGACTTCTAACCAACAGGTCGAGGGATCGAGCCCCAGGGGCTGCAAAAACCGGAGGTCAGGTTTGACTGACCGGTGACGGCTAATTAGCCAGAAATGACTATTCTAGTCCTCCTCGTCTTTGTCGGCAATGCTATCCTGCCTAAATGTGAACTCCGTTCATGCCTACCCACAATGTCTGCAGACAGCATTTTTCAACAACCGAAGTGAATGAAATCATGCAGATAAAAGACAGTAGATCGACAAAAATCAAATTCGTAAGGCCTAAAGACACAGCTAGCAAACAACATGAGCGCCATATTCACAGAGTAGTAGGGTATGGTGGGACGGTGGAGATGAGACGGATTGCTAGGTCGGAAAAAGTTAGTGATTCTGAATCTGCCTGTGGTGGAAGGCGTCCAAAGATTGTTCGAAAAAAAGACGAGACAAGTGCCAGAGTTGGCAATATACAACAGCTTTGTCTAAGAGGCAAACTTGCATGGGACGGGCAAACTACGCTTGAAAACAGGCTACTGTACACTGGTCGAGCATATCCAAGGTACGAGGTAAACACCCAATGAGAGCACCGTCGAAAGAATAGCAAGCGATTCTTTGAAATTTCAATCAGGAAAACGAAAAAAGCCCACACAACCGAATGCGGAACCTCGGCACAGACTTTTTCCCGTAAACAGTGCTAGTGTAATATTACGCAACAGCAGAATGCATTGGAAATGTCATTTCTGATAACCCAGTGAACCACACAATAAGATAATTCATGCGAACGGCGTCAAAATTCAGTTATTATTGATACCATGTTAACGTTGAAAACTGCGGTAGAACGCCAG